GATTGGCCTAAATATTATATTATTGTAGCCGCACGATGATACGAGTACGTTAACCGAGGAGTCGGTATGGCGCGTAAATTGAACGAAAACAATAACGCACGCTAGTTGAACCAGTTTGTTACAGGTATTAATTGCCCTTATCTGTCTGTCTTTTTCGATTGTCATGTTTGAGAAGATAGAGAGTAACTTTAATCATTATTAAATTGACGTCGATTTTTATGAGAAAAGTAGATTTTATTCAATTTTCATTATAACGAGCCGCGTTTGCTCAAAAACTAAGCGTTCGCTGTAAATTTCACAATACCCGAGCAACCTGTCTTGATCCCAGCCGGCATCAATGAAATTGTTATTTAGTGTTGATTGCATCGTGAGGAAATATGCTCGTCTTAAAAATAAAATAACATAAATAATGTGGGTGTCTTCAATGCAAGAGTGAATAATGGTAGTGAAGAATGGTTTTTGTTAAGCTAAGTCAGTGCGCTTCACCATCAAGCTGCATCACTACTTACCATCAGGTGGGATAGTAGTTAAGCACTGGCTTGTACCTAATAATCCAGAAATATACAAACGCAAGGGGTAAAAATTTGCATGCACCTGTCTAAGACTGCTTATGCGTTAACAAGAAACTGTACTCTCATTTCTGAGAGGGTTTTAGGGCAATGAAATGTCCGTCGCACTGATATATGTTGGCGAACTTCACAGATCTTCGAAATATTTTTTTCTTTTTTCGCAGACATGTAGAGTTCTTCACGTTGTTTTCTTTTATCGCCAAGCATGTGGTAAATCAGCACTTAAAATTACAATTAACAATTTAAATGATGCGGGCGGGGATCGAGCCCGGGTTGCTCGCGTACTGTAATTTACAGCGAGCGTTTAGCCCCTGAGTTACTACGGCTCTATAAATAGATAGATTGCTCAATAGATTTCCATAAAATAAAATAAACGAAAATTGTTTTTTCTTTTTTGCTAGTTAACCGTTTTCATACGGTCTCGTTAGGTTAACGATAAACAGATCAATGACCCACCACGAATGTATATCACCACATATCTAATGTTAATACACAAGAAAATGGACATATCTCCTCAGCATGCTACAAGTACATTATCAATAGATATGCATATGCAGACGGCTGGTAATCCTTCGATAGCATCTATCGGCTTATAGGGAACAGTTCATACAATTTTTCATATTATTAGCGTCCGTTAAATTGACATGGGGAATTATATTATAATTAAATTTATATTTATTATTATTAGTTATAATTGTACAGGTATACATTATAAAGCTCTTATTTGACATCATGAAGAGAAAAGATAACGCCTTCGTGGCGCAGTTGCATAGCAAGTTGTGGTGCAGTTCCGCACGGAACGAGTATTTTGTATGGCCAACAAATAGTAATAATAAATTTCGCGTTAGAACCAAAAGGTTTGCTTCGTCTTTTGTAATGCGTACAGCAAAGGAATGGAATAATTTTCCGGCGTCTATCTTTCCGTCCGAATACAATCCGTCTCCAAGGCAAGAATGAATAGACTTTTGTTACGATAAGACAGTGCGATTTACCATCTAAGGCTGCATCACCATTTACCACCAGGTGGGATTGTGGTCAAGCACTGGCTTATAATAAGTAAAAAAAATTAATACTTAATTTAAAAAATAATAATTGTACAGAATTTGAATGTTTGTTCTTGTGCAATGTATGTATGTAAACTGCCTGCATCAGATAAAAGAAAATCACAGTATGAGGGTATCCTACACAATCCTAATAACGTTTTTATAAATAAAATAATTAAATACATATTAGGAATATTTATTTATGTTTTTTTTTCTTTTAATTCATTTATTATGTGAATCAGAAGTATTTATGTTTTAATTTCAATGTTTATAAGTTGTATTTTATTTTAGTTTGGCTAAATTAAATATGTAACCATTTTTATTAAAGGTTTTGATATGTTCTTGGGCTCACACCTTGCACTACAATCTTAAATGTTATTTAAGCGGGCGGCGGCCGACACTTATGATCAGGTGAGACACAAGCTCGTTTGCCCCCTTCTTCTATAAAAAAATTACGGCATATAAAAGTACACTGCTAAACATAGCCCTCGCCAATATATTCTCTCATAGGAAGGTTATTGTGACTGGCAGAAAGTTCTTCATTAATTCCGCCCTTTGTCACTCCTAAATGAAGATGTGTTGCAATAAAGGATAAATAAAAAAATACATAAAAAATACCACGCTTGGTTGGCAGCTGCACTGTTTTGTTATGTTCAGTTGTTTTCTTTTCAGGAAGATGCTACGTCATTCGTTTCAATTTTCCTCTGTGGTCTCTTTCGACACCCATGGGGGAATATGGGAAAGTTGATATCTGTTATCTTACGGTGGAAGTAAGTTAAGTCTTTATTAACAGTGTTAGGGATCGCAGTGGACTGTATTATTGACTACGCTAGGGAAACTGCTTAAAGAAAAGATGGTACTGTCGAACTATACTGTATTCAAACTATTTACAATGTGGCACTATTAACTACACTATACAGAGGGGAGTCTTCTTAATTTCTTGGAGTCTTGATTTCTCTTGCTGTTTCTTCTCTACGAGTGCCGCTTCCGAAATGAACAGCTCACTGACCGAGACGCCCTTCTTATATGTCGCCAGAGAGCGTCTCGGTTCGTGAGTAGCGTCGTCCGCGATGCCGCGCGCTCATTGGTCGGCGACATCGCGTGATCTGCTGCTGGTGTGTGGGGTGCGCGGGGCGCACCGGGGTGTGAAGGGGCGACGGGGCGGCGGCCTCCTCGCTGTCCGCTACATCCTCCCCCCGGCGTAGCCTGCGAGCCTAAGCTTCCCTCGGGAGGACGGCGATCTTCCTGACGGGCCGCCGCAGCACTCCTCCCTTGGTCCGGACCTCGACGTTGCGCACCACGCCGTCTGGTCCAGGAAACGTCTTCGTTACGATGCCCCGCGGTCACACATTCCTGGGTAGGTTGCTGTCCGCAACCACGACGAGGTCCTCTTCCTGTATTTGGCGCTGCTGAGCATCTCTGGAGTCCCCGCGCGCAACCAGCGTCGGCAGGTATTCCTTCAGCTAGCGCCTCCAGTACTCGTCGGCGAGCCCCTGCGCCGCTCTCCACGCCCGACGATCCATGGGTGTGCACGGCGCGGTGACTGGCAGGCCCGATGGTCCCAACAGTAGAAAGTGGTTGGGTGTCAGCGCCTCTTCATCGTTGATGTCGACCGGTACGTGCGTCAACGGTCGAGAATTTACAGTATTTTCGGCTTCAGTCAGAAGCGTTGCCAACGTTTCTTCTCGTGGGCTCTTCTGATGGAGAGTGGCTTCGAGTGCGGTCTTCACTGAGCGCACGAGACGCTCCCATGCGCCTCCCTGGTTAGGCGCGCCCGGTGCGTTGAATTTCCAATCGACGCGCCGAGTCAGCGCGTAATCCTTCAACTGTGGCACCCACTCTTCCATTGCCCGTCGTAGTTCTATGTTTGCCCCATGAAAATTAGTCCCATTATCAGAATAAATAACCCGTGGCCACCCACGCCTAGCCGCCATGCGCCGCAATGCCGATATCGCCGAGTCCGCGGTCAGAGAGTAGACTATCTCTAGATGTACTGCGCGCGTCGTTAGGCACGTGAACAGTGCCACCCACCGTTTTTCGTGCCGTCGTCCTATCGTAACCGTCAGAGGCCCGAAATAATCAATCCCGGTGTTCGTAAATGGTCGCGCAAACGCCCCTAACCGTTCAGGTGGTAGGTCTCTTGTAACCGCAGGTCGTGGTGTCGCCTTCCGTACTCTGCATCGTAGGCATCTCCGCTCCGCTTCTCGTACTGTAGGTCGTAATCGGAGGATATGATACCTAGTGCGCAGGCCGTTCACCACTCTCTCTATATTGGCGTGGCTTGCTTCCTGATGCGCCTTCTCCACAAGCAGCTTTACAAATTGGTGACGTCCATTCAGGATAATGGGTCTCTTCATTTGACCGTCCACGTCGGCTGCGTCGATCCTTCCCCTGGCTCGTAGCATCCATCCTCCAATATGGGGTCGAGCTTCCTTAGTGCGCTGCCGGTGGCCAAATTCCTTCTCCGCCGAAGTCGGCTGATGTCTTCAGCGAAGCTTTCCCGCTGGCTATGTTGTATCCACATCCGTTCTGCTCTCGTCCTCGTGCTCTTCCTCGTGCCGCATCGAGGAATTGTAGTACTCTCGCTGTGGCCCTGATTAACTTCTCGTAGGCAGAGAATCTCCCTATGTCTGGCAGGTGTGAAGCTTCCTGGGTGTCGCTCTGGTGCGCCACGATTTCCTCCAACTCTTCATCATCCCCCGCCTTCTCTTCCTGTCGGTGAGACCATCTGTCTTCATGCTCGTAGAGGAAGGGTGGTCCTGTAAACCACTTGTCGCTCTCTTCCTTGGTTGTGAAATTCATACGCGTCGCTTGATCCGCTACGTTTTCCGCAGTCGGTATCCATCTCCATTGCTCGGATGATGTCTTTTCAGCTATCTCCCCTAACCTGTGAGCTACGTATGGAGTGTAACGCGCCGTATCGTTCTGTATCCAGTGGAGCGCCGTAGTAGAGTCCGTCCAATATACGACCCTATCTGCTACCACTCTGTGTTCGTCCTGCACGAATTCCGCGAGTCGCGCGCCTATTAACCCTTAAAGCGGCAAAGTACTAATAAAACATAATTTTGTGTTCAAAAATCTATTTTTATGTATTGTTAGGGATGTAATTAAATGTAAATATAAAAGAAAAAGAAAAAACATTTATTTAGAAGGTTTTTTTTAATGTCCCATAAAACGGACAGCACTGCATACGTAAAAATCAGCTCTTTTATTTAGCGTCCTAGAAAAAGGACAGTGCTGGATACTGTATATATTAGAAACATTAACATATTAAATAACAATTCCATTTATAAATATACAAAAGCGTGGGTTTAATAAAACAATGAAATTGGCAAAAAATATTTTTAGTAAAAAAATAGTCTTAAGCAATTAAACAGTAATTAATTAATTATTTTTGTGTATGAAATTGCAAAAAACACTTCTTTTTTTGAGTCAGGCACAATCTTACATCGCATTTCAGACATTTTATCATTGTTTTCCCTTTAATACATAGACGGCACCGTCCTTGTGTATCGATATCGGGTAGATGGTTGATTCCATCTAACCGCATCTCTGGTGGCGGCCTCGGAACTATAGGTTTAGTGATTTCAGCTGGAATTTCGGAATCTATTACAATTTTTATACGCGTGTCAGATTTTATTAGTGCATCTGCAATTTGGATTCGAAACCTTTTCAGTGGTATAGAATTATCACCCATTTCCTGCATTTCACGTTTGTACACAAGCCATGCATTATTCAGAGAAATGTCGATGAGGTGGCTGAAAATGTTCATATACCATTTCTTGCTTTTCAGAGCAATCCTGTATAAAGAAATCAACATATCGGCTTTATCCACCCCGCCCATTTTTTTGTTGTATTCCTTGATAATGTGTGGACATGAAACAGGCCGCTTTTCGCGCACATCTTTATTATATCGTAAAATGCTGGTAACAGGCTCTTCTCCGCAATATGAACTCGCTAAATTTACACAGTCATTGTCCACCCACTTCACAATTGATAGCTTATTTTTATTGTCTGAAATCATTACATAGCTTCCTCTACCTTTTTTCTTCAGCACTTTATCTTCGACAATATTCTGCCCTCTAAGTCTGTCCTTCCTTATGGTCCCCAAAGAAAGAATTCCATATGCATTTCTTAGATGATATATTAGCTCCAAAGACGTGAACCAGTTATCAAAATAAACAGTTGACATAGGTTTATCCTTTATAGTTTTACACAGCTTTATAACTGTTCTCCCGCCAATCCCGAGATAATTATTTTCCCACTCTGTAAATTCAGCGTGGTCAAAACTGTTGCTACCATCGTATGCGAAAAAGTCATATACTATCCCGGAATTCCCAGCTCGAACAAAAAATTTAAAACCCCATTTTGTGGGTTTTTTCGGCATATATTGACGTCGAGATCCAGCCTTTTTACCTTTATACGGCACCATCATCTCGTCTATGGAATACGACTTTTCCTCTTCAATCGCCAAACAATTTAGCCGTAAGTGCTCCATCACGGGCCTAATTTTAAAATAACGATCTACATGATCATCCTCCGCGTTATTACTAAAGTGTAAATTTCCTCTTATATTCTCATATTTTTTGAGAGACATAGCGTCTGTGATAGGAGCAAAGCGAGTACCTTGTGCCCAATAATCAGCATATGCTGACATGCTTACTATTCCCATTAAAATTTCAATACCGACAAAGGATTTTATGCCTTTCACTGTTAGATTTATTGACTTGCCTTGTTTTTGCATAGAGTATAAATTGGTCATTTCGACGATGTGGTTCCATAAATCCTCATTCCAAAGCTTCTTGAAATAATCGAATGTTTTATCCGTATAATCTATAGAAGGGTGAAATTCTGAATCTATGTGTACCTGGCTTCTGAATTTTTGGCGTTTGAACTCAAATTCCATCTGTTCTAGTTTTTTTTTGCTTATTTCTTACTTGGTTAGATGTAGAAGGATCATTTGAATTTCTTATGTTTCTTGTGCGTCGTATTGAAATACCCAGTGGTGTTACTGGGGATGGCATTGATTGTTGCGGCTGAACAGTGGAAATATTTCTTGGAGACTGTACTGACGTGGTGACCACAGATGGAGAAGGTTCAAGAGAGATATTGCTCGTTGCAGGGGAATCCACCAAAGTATCATAACAATTATTTAATAGAGAAGGACTCGCTAATTCTTCATCAATATCGTCATCAAAACCATTCAAAAATTCTTCCAGCCCGGGAGACAGAGTTCGGCAGGAAGATGAATCGTCTAACGCTATACGTGAAACTACTCCTTCTTCAATATTGTCATCATTTTCGACGTCGGATGGTTCCGAATCTGACGGTGGAATCATAGCCAAAATTCTTTGCGCACGCCATGCTTTGATATTATTAGTGGAATTCCCTATAACAAGCATATTTTGCATTTAAAAATAAACACCATGAAACATTAGACATTAAAAAAATGCATACGTGCTCATTTAGATTATTATTGTTAGTAACATTAGCAAAGTCCGTTATTTGGGACACCTAAAATTAAATACCTAGTGTTGGTAAAGCGGCAATGTCCGTAAAAAGTGACACCTATAATTTAGCATAACAATCCTATAAATCCTTTCGAAATAACCGCAGGTCGCAGTGGTTTGACCATTTTTATTCCAAATTTTTGCACTGTTTTACGAATTGCTGCCGAACATCAACTTGACAAATTTCAAATCGAACGACAGTTACTGTTGTGATGCGCACGACGCGTAGTATCTGTGCGAGGAGGATGGATATATCGCTCTCTTCACGTTTCGTTCAAAAACAGTGCCAGTTTACGTTTAGGAACTTTATTAATTTTGATAATTTAGTTGTACCAAAAAACGGACAAAAATGCATTAAGGGTTAAGTTCGCCTGCAACTCTAATCGCGGTATACTTTGCGCTTTAATTGGAGCGACTTTCGCCTTAGCCGCCACTAATCGTACCCTAATCGTTCCGTCGCGATATCGTATACGCCGATACGCCGCGGATGCGTACGCACGTTCGCTCGCATCATTGAACACGTGAAGTTGACGCTCTACCACTCCCCCCGTAGGAGCATAGCATCTTGGCAGTCGTAGTCGCGATACATCCTCGACGACTCGCAGCCACCGCTGGAATTCCTCCGCTGCCTCCTCGGGTAGTTCGTCGTCCCATCCGACCTTCTTCATACGCCATAGGTCTTGTAGCAGGATCTTGGCGGTGATGGTGAGGTAACTTAGCAGTCCAAGCGGGTCAAACACGGACATGACCGCGCTTAATGCTTCCCTCTTGGTCGGTGGTCGCTTTAGCGCCTTTACTTCTTGCGGCACCCTATTCATTGACGTGTTGAATGTTAGGGCGTCTTCATCAGCCATCCATAATAACCCTAAGGTTCTGCCTGGGCTGTCCTGTCTTAAGCCTACTTCCTTAGGCTTACGCGCCAGTAAGTCCTCCGGCTTGTCCTTCAACAGGGCTGCGTGGTTAGAGTTCCATCCTGCCAAGGTGAAACCGGCCTGCTGGTGCACTTCCGAAACCTGCTTCGCCGTATTTACCGCTTCCTCTACCGTGGCATAACTGTCTAAATAATCATCCATATAATGGCTACGTACGATAGCGTTAAGTGCCAACGGGTGTGTCTCTGCGTGTGCGCGCGCGTTATGATCCCTAACACTATGTGCGAGAAACGGCGAGCTCCTCGCACCGAAAATCATAGACGTCATAACGTACTCCCGCGGTGGGCTATGTCGCTCGTCTCCTCGCCAAAGAAACAACTGCGCGGGCTGATCGCGACGGTCGATCTTCACACGCAAGAACATTTCCCTAATATCCGCGGACACCGCTATCTCGTTCTCCCTAAATCGAAACAGTATGCCCGGTAAGTTCCGTAATAAGTCAGGGCCGTCGAGTAAATAATCGTTAAGGCATCTGCCGGATGCACGCGCTGCCGCGTCGAACACTACTCTCGTCTTCCCCGGCTTGTTCGGATTCCGTACTGCGAAGTGTGACAGCTCTTGGGATCCTTTCGCTCTGTCCCCTCGGCTTCCCTTGCGTATCCTTTCGCCAGGAGGTTGTCTATCTGGGCTGTGTAGGCGTCACGAAACCCCGGCGACTGGTTCATCTTCCTTTCAATCGTCCGTAGTCTTCGCGCTGCCATCTCGTAGCTGGGTGGCATCCGCACGTTGTCGTCCTTCCATGGCAGTCCAACTTGGTATTGCTCGCCGACCTTCTTGACGGTACACTGGAATATGTCGACAGCGCGCTCCTCATCCCGTCACGGCCTACTCTTTAGCGAGATACCTATAGAGTCTATCTCGTACTGCCGTTTGAGGAGTTCCGTTAGCTCCTCGTCCTGACTGGCAAACGTTCGGATGTTCCTATCTGACCGTCCGCTAGTGCTCTCTACGTGCAATACGGTCTCGCCGTCTTCCCTACACGTTAACCGCGGCACGGTTCCCTGAATTACCCATCCTAATAACGTTCGTGCAGCTATAGGCTGCCTTCGACGTCCTATCCTTAAACCACGGGTAATTATCAAATGCCAATTGTCGGCGCCTAATAGCAATCTCGGCTTCGCGTCGTCGTAACACACCGGACTCGGTAAGTCACGTAAGTGCTTTAATCGTAAGCACTCCCTACTCACAGACTGCGAGCCTATCTTTAAGTCGGTTATTGTTCGCGCGTTTATGTTAAACATCTCGCTGCGCGTCTTGCCACGTATCCCTATATTGACTAATCTACTATTAGCCTCGCGTGACTGTTACCTACGCCTTTAATATTGAGCGGCTTTATCGGTCCTTCCGCTCCTAACTCGCGAGCTAAGTCGTCGTCGATTAGCGATATCGTAGAGCCTTCGTCAAGTAGCGCGTACGTATTTACTTCCTTTCCGCGTGGTCCGCGCACGGTTATCGGGCACACTTTTAACAATACGGACGAACTACTGCTAACACTCGACGCGACGAGCACGGTTTCGTCCGGTTTAACCGACGCTGCAGGCGGACGTGCCTTGCGGGTGTGAAGGAGAGCGTGGTGGGGGGCGTTGCAGCCGTCGACGCCGCACTTCCTGGCTTTGCAGCGTATACGTCGGTGCTTGCTGCTCAAGCACTTGAAACATACCCCATCTTCCCTAACCCACTTCCACCGGTCGTCCGAGCCCATTTGCTCTAACTTCGTACACTTGACGATAGGGTGTTCACCCCCGCAACACATACATGAGGCACTACCGGTGTCCTCCTGGGCGGTGAACGTCTTTACGTCGCGGGCCCTATCTTCTACGCGGCGTGTTAACACTATTCTTTTCGACGGCGGCGCCTCTCGTCTTACGGGCGATTCCTTAGTCGACGTTACGGACGTATAGGCATGACTTAACGCACGGTCAGCCTCTCTCATCATGAACTGGGATAACGTAACGATGTCCGGTTCGTCCGCACTTCCGTAGTGCTCCGCATAATCGCACCAACGCGACCGTAAGTGAGGGCTAAGTTTGCTAGTAACCTCCCTAGTCAGCATTGGATTACGCAAATAACCCTTGCCGTCGACGTTCTGCATAATGCACACTATATTTTGTAACTTAATTGCGGACGAGTTTAATTCCTGGGCGGTTTGACCCGGGCGCGGAAGGCGTTTTAATTCTTCTAACGCACGATCTATAATTACTTCCGGGCGGCCGAAACACTGCTCCAGTGTCCGCATAATGTCTGCCGGATCCTTCGCGGTAAACAGCAGAGCCGATACTACCTCTCTAGCCTCACCGCGTAAACAGTTCCTTAATCTTGCCATATTTTTCGTATTTGTGAATCCATATAAACGTGTGGATTCATTCATCGCGGCTTTAAATGCTAACCATTCCGCGGCCGAGCCGTTAAAAATAGGCAAGTCCTGCGTCTGTTTCGCGGCGGCTGGTCTAACCCTAACCATGCTTTCTAAAGCTTCCGCTAGCCGTTCTATACCCCTATCCTTCCCTCGCGGGGTGAGCGATCTATCTCTATCCCTATTTTCTTCTAGCCTACGCTATGGCGCCGGCGACCTATGTACACCTACATCCCTATGACACGGCGACGGTAATCTACGATCCGCAAGGCGATGTGGCGATTTATCTCTGCCTACATCATTACACGGCGACGGTGATCTACGATCCGCGTGGTGATGTGGCGATGGCGATCTACGTGCACCTACATCCTTATGACACGGCGACGGTAATCTACGATCCGCGTGGCGATGTGGCGATCTATGTATAGGCGATAGAGTGTGGCGTTGGACGCGCGACGGTGACGTAACCCGTACACGACGATCCACCTGGTTAATTTCTACGGCGACTCCATTGTCCCTCTGTATCCTATTTACGCGGCGCGGTTGAACGTCATTCGCAACCAACCTCCCCTGGGCATCTTCAGCGTGGTCGTAACCGGTTCCCCTACTCGGCGGGGCCTGCTCTATCTCGATGCGGGGCGCGGGCTGAGACGGGCGGTAGGGCGGCTCCCCCCGCACAGTCTCTACGTTTTCTAACCACCTATCCACGCGTACCCTATTTTTGACTAATTCGTTCTCGTTTAGACTTTCCCTATCGGTTTCTTCTTGCAGTTGAGCGATATCCCTAGCATACTTCTTTTTGATGAGATCTTCCTCGATTTGCAATTGCTTCCTCCTAATTGCAGCTAGTTCCTCCGCGGCATTATATTCGATTTGTTTTAATCTTGCTACTGCGCTAGCTGTCGACCGGGCTGAACGGACTGAACGGACCGACGGGGCGCGGGACGCGGGCCTATGTTTAACGTCTGCTACAGGCGCGACGGTACGCACTATCGAACTAGTTTCTGTAGTCGGAAGATCTTCTATTATCGCGGCGAGCGTTTCTGTGCGCGGCGCGGATGTGCTAACTTCTCCCAAGCGATCGGTTGTAGACACGGACATAGCGGGGCGCGGGCGCGGGCGCGGGCATAGATGCGGGCGCGAGCGGGGGCTGCGGCGCGGCGGAGGGCGCTTGTGCCAACGCGAGATAATCGGACGGTGACGCGGGTGCTTCCTCGAATATCCGCATTCCTACTGGCGTTTCGTCGTCGTTCCGTGTCTTCTGGCTTCTTGTCTTCCGCATGATGGTGTCCCTCGTTGCGACCTCCGATCGTCTTCAAAAAGACACACGTATTGGACGCCGTTCCCGCCTCAAGGGCGTTACCAGATGGTCACTGTTTGGCACCGTTAGGGAGCAACCACCCGGCCGCGTAAACGCGGTTTAAGAAACAAGAATTGTCTGGAAACAGACAATATATATGACGTAGATGTAAGCAAGAAACGAGGAAGGAGTTAGCACCGACGATGTTCTCTCTTCGTCGACGTACTTCTTTCTTCCTCGAAGA